GGACTGGAGCATGTGCTCTCTGGAGTTAAAAGCCAAATCAAAAAGATAAGTCTTAAAAGGATTTCAATTTGTTAATTGTCTCTCAGGTCCTTTTCTGATTTTATCTTCGTTGTTTTTCTTAAGGCCCTTCACGCTATAACGTTTTAGATAACTTATGCCAACGTATGAAAGGATTTTTCGGTCTAAATGACCAATTAAAGTTATATATTTGATCAATTTGTTATCATTACAGAATGTACACACCTAAAAAGTTGATTTTTTTWAATTCAATCTTCAAYGTAGATGTGTTTAAAATTATCATAAGTTGGCATAAGTTGTCTAAAACATTATAGTGTGACAGGGCCTTTACGTCATGATATTCAGATAATGTTCATCTTTTATGCATATTTTTTAATTTGTTAAATTCACACTGCGCACTGTTCTTATCAAAAAAAATTGGTTCTTTTCTAATCTCTTCAGTTTCAGAATGAGAACATGTCTGCACCACCTGCGACTTGTAAAATACTAATAATGACAACTCTAACACAGCCAGATACAAATAATAATAATAATAATTTTAAAAAGGTCAGAAAAGAAGGAAAAACAACCAAAATCCAAACATTGATTAATTTGAATGAAGYCAAATCCTATTTATCAAGCTCACTTTACAAGAGAGTCTCATTGGAAACCAAATCACATGAAAATAAGGGTGGTTTAAACTTTCTCACATTACTGCAAAAATAATAATACCAGAAAAATATAGTTTGATAAAACAGAGCAAGGCCTCTTYACAATGATGTGGGCGTGTAAAAGAGAAAGAGTTGAGCAACTGTTCATGGTGAGGCAGAACCCTGGTGGTGGCTGTCCTGGTGGCACCCTGCAGCCTCTTCCTCCCCAGCGGCTCCAGGCCTGACCTTGCCCACCGGCAGCGAGGGAGGGGTACATCTCCCATTAAAGCAGTGCTTTGTGATAAGGCCTTTTTTTTTTTCCCTTCAGCATCCCTTTAATGTCATCCCTGAAATATGAAGTCATTAAGCGATATTAAAACAGTGCTGACAAACTAATTAACAGAAGACATTATACGGGATGGGCTCGATTAATCCGCTTTAATTGCTCTTTTAAATGGGGGCTCCAATTAAAATTAATAAAGATTTACTGGTGATCAGTCTAAACTACACTAAGAAGTGGCTGTCTGAAGGGCAGCCTAAAGTCAGCGGCCTCCGTTCTCAAGTTACACTCCCTTTGCTCCCAGCGCCCACCCCGGCTGTTTCCAAAAGACCATATCTATGAGCAATGAGATTAAAGAGCGGGGTTGTCCCAGYGCCCCCAGTCCCTCAGCTCGTATTGCCTCTTGCTTAGGGGTGTTTGATCCTGCCTTTGTCTTTGTAGGACCCTGCTAAGGAGACACCAGCTCATTTTATATCCAAAAATACCTCACACACGGACCGCCTCTAGAAAGGCTTGATTAATGAATAAATGAAATAAAATGTGTTTTTTTTTCTTGTAAATATAACGCTTTAGAAATTGTTCAAGTGTTTTACGTTGCTGTTTTTAAACCTTTTCCTTTTTGAACCTTTTTTAGTTTAATRAATAGTTATAAAGTCATTCAAATAGCAATTTTCTGAGCTTTAAAACAAATGTCTAWTCTTTCTAATAATTTTTTTATGTAATTTTATTTGTGGAATAAGTTCAGTTGCAGCAGGGCTTCACTAGATGATGCTGTTGCTCTTCTGTGTTGTCYGTGAAGCTCTGAAAGTCTTTTTCCAGCTGTTTTTTTTAACATTAGACTCAGAAAACTTCCAAACAGCAGCAAGATTTTTTTTGCAGCACTGAATTTTCAAAAGGTCAAACACATAATTAAGTGCATCTGCTCAAATGAAGTTTTTGTTTTAATTAAATCTTTTTTATTTTGTTTTTTCTTTTTTTTCATCTTCATTACAAAGGAAGCTCTGTTTTTTTCTTTTTTATTATCAGAGATTAAACATAATTTCATATTGTGCCGTTTAAGTTTGAGGCCCTATCAGCCCCGAGGTGATTCAACAACTGAAGGTATGTAATTTGTTTTCTTTCATTATATCAGAGGTGACCAAGTCTTGTTCAGAAAATGTCACACAACAAAATTAATTTAAGCAAAGCACTTTGGTTCAGTCAGAGGCTCTTTTTTTAATTGGGTTGAGAATGTAAATCAATTTACAGAAGAAAATGGACACAATTGAAAAGAAATGTCTATTAAAAGATTAGAGGGGTTTATTGTCTCCAGTCTTTGTCATCAGCCGGTCCCAGCATTGTTTTAATTTCCTTAATGTTATCATTTCTGATGCAATTGGTGCTTGGGTGCCTAACGGGTTTTTCAATTAAATGTTTGGTTTAAGGTGCTGACGTTATAAACTCACACTCAGCCTCTTCAGTCTTTCATTGTAGTATTTTTAGCAAAACTTTGAAAMGATGGGAAAACGAGTGCAAAAGCAGATGAAAGTTATTATTTTCCTCCCATTTAAATAAAATCTATTGATTCATGTTTGTGATTTCGTGACATTTCCAACCTTCAGAGTGTGTGTTTTTTGTCATCAGCTTCCCTGGAAGCGGGTGCCTGGAAGAAAGCGTCGACAGGTATTTGGAATTTCGCTTCGGTGGCACAACTGTTGATATGAGGTCACCTCAGGCATTAGTCATGAGGAGGGAATGCATTGTGGCTGTTTTCAAGACATGGCAGTTGTCCACATCCGCAGCGGCCACACGATGAATGCGGGCCTCAGAAAGTTGACTTGAATCAGCTTCGATGAACAATGTGAACAGCAWAGTTTTTAACAGCTGCTTGCTGGACCTGGATTAGAGGCACCTTAGGGGCAGAACACTGGGATGCTTACTAGACAGTTTACACTTTTCATCTGTTTTTTTTTTTGTTTTAAATATTAAAATGTGCAAATATATGACCAAAGACAATTAGAACACATTAGCTGTGTATGATATTTAGTGCATCTTTTATTTTAATATTCATCCAATACAATGGTTCTCAGTGAAATATTTAAAAAAAATTTCCTTAAGAAGACAACAGCTGAATTTTCTCACATGATAGTAAACATAACTCATGCAATGAGACAAACGAAACCATAATAAATTATACAACATAAAGCCAGCAGTGCATGTACATTTACACATCATACAAAGCTATGAGATAAAATACCATTAAAAAAGAAACTAATATCCATACCAAGTAATGTAAAGCTACTTTACAAAGGATTACATCTGGTCTTTGTAAACATTTTTGCACAACTACAAACTCAATAATTGTCAAAATACAACAAACACTGAGGAAAATCACAAAAGATGAGCTATTTTGGTTGCTAATTTCATAAAACAGATCACAAAGTTTTTGATTTGTGCATCAATTCATTATTTACAATGATGCGTGTGTATGTGTGGGTAGGCACAATTTTGCTGCATTGTGGGGACCATTTTCTAGAAAACGGCAGTCTCCTGGGGACCAAATGTGCATCGTGGGGATCCAAAGCCTGGTCCCCACA